CATATAAAAAAAAAAGGAAATTCAATTCGCATTTAACGCCCAAAAAGCCATCTTTCAAAGCTTGTGCTAATATTTTAGTCAGCCGAGCATATCAAGGCTATAACCATCCACATCATTGCTTTTCAAACGTAAAAAGAAAAAACAAAATACTAATACTAACATAACAGATATGAGACTTTTTAAGCTTACCGTATTGACTCATTGATGGCTTCTTGCTTTTTCTTCGCATTTTCCTTGGCCTTTTTAACCCTCTTCTTTTTACCACTTTTTGAAGGTGGTTTCGACGCTGCTGATGAACCTTCAATCTCATTGACAACGGTATCAACAGATATTGGTGGAATACGTTCCTTGGGAGCCAAGTTTTCTGGTACCGGAGGCGTCTGGTCGTCGTTTTCAAGTTCCTCATTTAACTGCAAAAAAAAAAATCAATATTTGCTAAAATATCGCTCCTTACTCAAATAAATTATTCTATAACAAATTATAAAGATAAAACTTGGTGAGCTGATGAAAAACGGTAAAAACTGTTTAAACTAACGATGTGAAAAGAAAGAAATTATTTTAGAGTAGAAAAAGAATTATGATGACTTAAAAACATCAATCATCACCTTTAGTTTTGCCAAAAGTTTTGCTCTTAGCTTAGCTTCTGTAACAGACTTAGGCTCTGGAGGTGGTTCAATCAGAATATCAGGTTCTGATGCTGAACCAGGACCAATTTTTATGCCACGTCGAAGTGCTTCTCGACGTAATCTCTCCAACGCTTTTTGTTTTCTATCAACCTTTTCTTGTTCGGCCGCCACTAAAAAATTTTAAAAAACTTCAAAATTCTAAAGAATAAATTCAGCCCAAATTTACAGACTAAAAATAAAAGAAAGCAACAAAAACTCGCAGCTAAATGTTTTTACGGTTCAGTCGAAATAATAAAACCATTCTTCAGTAGATGTACACACATAAATTCAGTCCATAAAACAAAAATTAATCACTCCTTAGTAATTAAGTGCCGTATTAAAACAAACATGAAATTTTTAAACTACATTTTTAAACAAAATATTTAAGAATTACTAACATCATTTAAGTATTAAACAAAAACTATATTCAACAGAAATACAAATAAAATAAAAGCTAAATAAACAAGCAGCATCTTCCAGCAACGATACCAAAATAAAATAAATAATAGATTTTTTTTTCAAAAAAAAAAAATTTTTTTTTCTTTCCCTCATTTTCTAAAGCAAAAGAAAAAGTGAAGAGAAAAGGACGAGGTAATCATAAAAAGCCAATGTAAAATAGATTGAATAATAAAAGAGACACGCAAATAGATGGATACATGGTGTATGTTTGGCAAATGCCGCCTATCCTGGTACCGATACTGAGGCTACCAAGTCTGGTGCTTCTCCCTTTTAGTACTCCATTAATAACTAATTTAGCCGAACCTCTTTTTATTCTCTTTACCCCTCCTCCTCCTCCTCTTCATACCCCTCCCCCTCTCCTTCACTTCATCATTCCCTAAAAAGTAGTGCTCTTTGCCAGCAGGCATCAAATAATGACAAAACAACTTTCAACCATAACACTTCTGACGCAGTTACTCTTCCCCCGCAACTACTAAACTATTTCGTTTTCAGTTAACTTTATAGATTTACTTACTTATATTTATATTTATCTTTGTATATAAGCAAACAAAACAAAGGTATTGATAGACAAAACTAAAAAAAAAAGTTTTTTATGTTTTTTATGTAAAGTAATAATTTCTGTTGTGACAAAAACTGCAGAGTTTTATAAGTTAAAAAAAAAATGAAGTTTTGTACATTGTTTTAACCTAGATATAATTAAGTACATAATACTATGCTGCTAAAATCGAATGCCTAAGACTAGACCAACACCAAAAGATAAGCGAAAAAAAAAACGACAAAATGTGGCTAAAAGTTTCCGAATCTTTGCCGTCAGATTTTTTTTTCAACTAAATTCAACAAAACAAAAAAAACTCTACTGCTTCTGCAGCAGTTTATATACGTCAGACATAAATGTTAGTAGGGTTAAACAACAGATTCAGCTGCACAAATTTGAATAATTTTTGAATACGTATAAACCCTCTATCCTATACTCCGTTTACGGCAGTAAAATAGAAAGTAAGTTATAAGTTCATTGAGAAATCCATTAATTAAACATTTCCCTTACGATTGAACGATTGAAAGCAAAAAAAAAAAAGGAATGTTCAAATAATAAAAAAATGCCAATAAAGTGTTGAAAAAAAAAAAAAAAAACGGAACTGCTTTTCCAGGTTAGAAACAGAAATCTCATATTAGAAGAAAAAAAAAAGCTATTTTTTTATAAAGCATTAAATGCTTTGATAGAAAACCTTCCCTTCTTTTTTTTTGCTGAATCATTTGCTCTAACCAAACGTTCAGTTTATCAGATGGTGACACCTCGCTACCGTAATCACAGTTCAGCTATCTTCGATTACGTTCACTAAGTCATCAAATATTTCTTGGCTTTTTTTTAGACTTAAAAACTGCAATCGTTAATAAACATTTCCATATATATCAAATATAAACTTCATTTTCTCCCCTCAACTACATTATTTTTTACAATTAAAAAAAAGTTACAATTACTTTACATATGACCCAACAATCAAAACTGCTGCTAACAACCGATCTGTTATTTTTGATCTGCTTATCTCTTTATAATATTTCAAATTTCAAAAATTTAACAACAAAAAATTTAGCTTCCTTAAAAAAAAAAAAAGAACAGTAAAATTAAGGGACGACCACAAACAAAAATACGCACTCTTAAGCACAGCACCTATATATATATATATATATATATATATATATATATATATAATATATATATATATATATATATATATATATATATATATAAACTATATATATATATATATATATATATATATATATATATATTCTGCTTTATCAAGAAATTAAGTGAGCCTAACTTGCCAAATATCTGATCAAT